TGTAAATGTAACCTGAGCGATTTTAAAATGGTTATATCAGTTTGTTTGTGAGCAAAAATTAGCTTATACCTACACAGGTTTGGAATTAATTAGTTACCGTCTGGATAAATTTTGTAAGTTTGAAATATTGGTGATAACCATTTTCGTAAACTAAACACGAAAAATACACGTTCAAATAAATATGCAAATACCGGATCGTAAATTAAAACATTAGTTTAACATCTGTTGTAATATACTTCTGGTATAGTACGTAAAGCTGTGTGTTTTGATAGTTTTATTTATTATTATAGTAAGTATGGCTTATAAATGACATCTAATCCAGCATAAATTTCGTACGAAGTATTATCAATCCAAAAATTACAATATTTCGTAGATTTTAACTTAACTAGACTCATAATTTCCGTAACATATTGATATTCGGTTGGAAAAATTTATGTTTATTTTTGACTGAATAATTCATGTTTCGCATCGAAAATTTCTAGTATAGAATAGTTTGAATTGCTATTTTTCAAAAGTAACATTCTTTCACGCATTCTTGCTTGAAATATACATGCTATTTAAATACATTTTTAAATTAAAACGCCTACAAATACTTGCGATACTTTATACTCCTTTGTTGAACCTTCTCGATGAAATAAAAACTCTCAACTCGTGATGTATAATTACATGTTAATTATAAGTTAAAGTAAATAAAAACGAATTCAAAATCGTAACACATTGGGCTAATTGGAAACTGTCGTGTCTACAGAAAAATGTGGCGCCTACCCGGTGAGCTCGTGAGAATTTCCAGCAAATTTTTACGCCCACCGTTATGTTGATTTTTATTGAGTTTCCATGCGTTTTAGAAATTATGAAATAGTAACGGAATTCACAGTACCTAAACATTAATTCGTGCTAACAAAAAATCAGTTCTGCATTCTTTTAAAGAATTACCTACCAATTAAAATCACCTGAATATTTTTTAGTGCTAATTTTTATTAGTTGGAAATGAAATATTCATAGTATACAATTCCCAGCTATAGTTTTTTAACGAATTTTACTGTCATTAGCAAACAATGGTCTTTTTGCTTTTTGCAAATTTTACATCATAATAATAAATTGTTGAAAACATCAGCTACTAGTTTTGTAAAACGATTTACCCAAACTAATAGTTCTTTTTATTACGATATTTTGAATAGTATTAGCGTTTCGAGTGTCACGTAACTTATAACCTGGCGTGCTTGTAAAATTATGAAATTTTTAGCAATAAAATTTTGAATACCGCGCAAATAATTTATAACAAATGCTTTTGGATTATCATCAGTCATATAAAACGGCCGTTTATTTTTAAGTACATCGGAAACTAACGGCGTTAATATTATAACTTTATTCACATCCTTTGCGCATCTGACTTTCCTAAATTTATTGTCGATAAATTCAGCGTAAAGAAACGCCTGGCAACACTAATTCAGGTGTCAAACAAATAGTTATTTACAGAATAAATTTGGTTTATTAGCATAATCTCACGGAATCGCTAATTCAAGGAATTAACATTAATAAGGTATTTAACATCGTTGAAATGTATCTAATGAAGACGTCTTGCATTTGAACAACAACCATCCGAATTAAACCAATAGAAACAGTCGAGAACAGTGAATAATGCGATTATAAAAAAAAACGAATTTACATTTGAAAAGTATTCAGTGACCGGAACACGTTTAAACACACCGGAGGATATTGCAAACATTAATTTTTTTAAAGGGCTACTGTGCTGCCACCAACACGGATTTAATATACCGAAACGCATCCGCGTTAAATGAAACCAAATGAATATGGAAATTCGCACGTTTTTAACCATTTCTCTAAAGCCATCCACTTGTTTAGCTCGCATTTGCTAACACAGTCAATTTGCATACAAAATATACTCGCGAAAAAACTTATGAAATGTTCGCCTCGAAAGGTAGCCTCACTTTACAGTCTATTCCGGTCTTGTCGTATTTACAGCAGGAAAATGACGGAAGTTAATATGTAGGAGATAGCGTCGAAGAAAGTTCATTCGGCTTTTTCTGCTGTCAGGACGGCTCGCAGTGATCCAACTGATCCGTTGACAACCGGCCCGTGTTCAATGGGATCGGATTCAACGTTCGTCCGTTGGCTTCAGCTTCGCCAGCCTAATTTATTTTAAATTGCGAATTGAAATCTATCTGACGTTGGTATATGCACTATTCAAACAGAACGTTTACCTAATAAGTTGTGATGGCTATTTATACGTATGCATTTCTCTCGTGTGCGTCTGCATTGTCATAAAAACGAATCCGATTTGCGTTATTTTCTGTTGATTTTTTTTGTAGATTTACTGACCAGCTTCTCTAAAAGTATACCTTAAAAAGTCGTACGAGAGAAGATTTTACGATCTTAACGGGTTTCGCTGCAACGATTTCTACTAGCAATATTTAACATTATTCGACTTTTCTGTGTATACTTATGGTAACCGATGTGTGGGATAACTCGTATAAAGAAATTATTTCTTATACAGGAAAACCCACTGCTTCAATTATACTCAATACAATACCATCGAAGTGCTTCACAATAGTGGAATTTTATTTTGTCCATAATTTAAAGATATTTTGTAATTGATAAAATTCAAGTTGATTCGTGATATTTTTATTTAAAATACCCGTAAACGAGTGGTAATTCTCAAGCTGTTAAAAGAAGTGATCGAAGAATGATATTTTACGGTTAGATGGCCATTAACACCTGCGAACAAAAGCACAGTATACAAATAAAAGTGTGACATCACTATTGTTTTCTTAAAGAACTGTAAATTAATATTTAAAACACATAGTATATTCCGATTACTTCGAATCAAATTGTTATTCATATCGATAACTATTCGTTGCGGTAAGATGTGAAAACCTAATTTTTCCTGTAATTTATCATTAATTCGTATATCATATCTAATTTTAAAATTATAGAATTATTAACGAGTTACTCACAAATTTTATCTGATAGAATGTTTTGTGTGTGGAATAGTAATGAAATAACAAGAATTGTGGTTTAGAAGTGAATCAAAAAAATTTTAATGAACTTCCCGTTAATTGAATAGTTTTTAATGTAATAATTGCAATGTTTCACAATTCCTCATGTAAAAGGAATTTTAATTGCTTCAATTTGTTGTTATCTTCTATTTGACAAATTGTGTGCAGTACACTCGACCTCACCCATGTAAACTAAATGATCCATTAAGTTAAACAATAATTTATTTAATTAGTATGCTGGTACGAACTATTAATTAATTTCTCATTACATTAATCAACAATTTAATCGAATGCTAGTGCATGTATTGAATTTAAATATGATTCTTTTGGTGCTGTTTTATTAGATGATCGAGACATTCATTATACATTTTTTTCCTCCTATCATTACATAAATTTCTATCTAAATACTACTCTGTTGTTTTCGTTAATATTTACTGTTCAATAAATTAATCCACACATGCGAAGCAATACGCGTTGAATTGAACTTCTATTTAACCTCGTTTTAATTCGTTGATATAACATTCGTTTGGGATTTCTAACAATAAACAATTCCCTTAAGTACAACAAAGGTTAATGAAACAAAACAGAGCTATTTTTAGTACGTACACAGCAATTCAATTTACTACTGACTTTCACAATGTTGTAACATACGATTGATTGTCTTTTATGTAGCGTTTCTAGAGAAAAATGTGTAAATTACTATATTTTACGTTCGAGTTGCGTTTGATGTAAGAACTGGATAGAATAAATAAAACAAAAGATCCGATTCAAAAACTTTTTAATATACATATTAACAAGAAGGCAGATAGTGTTATGTTAAAAAACATTGTTTATAAAAAATAGTCTGTCCGTTTATAAACGGAAGTCGGGCGTATCTGTATATATTCACAATAGGCGAAATAGAAATTACAAAAATCCTAAAAAAATAAATAGGTACTCCTATAAAAAATTCGTTTATAATATTTACAAAATTTACAAATCGACAAATTCTTAAAATGTTTATATACAGTATTTTCTTATTTACAAATAAGTAGTTAGACTCCATCTTTTCTTAGGAGTTATATCAGTCAGGGTATCACAAATATGAACTCATCCATTCCTCGATATGAATTTACAAAAACCAGACGAAAATTACAGGAATTCAATGAAAAATAATATTTAATTGACCTAATGTAACATTTTTCATTTAAAATGTTGGCTATCTTTTTAAATAATTATTTATAAAATAATTTATAACAAATGTAGGTGGATAAAAACTTGTGAATAAATGATTGTAGTGAATATTTATTTTTGTTCAATAATTTCATATTATATAGAATGTACCTTATATTATAATTTATTTTATATACTATTGAGTAAGGTCAACACAACACAATGTTTAGAATTAATGCGAATAAAAATTCTCTACTAATTCAAGTGTGGAATAATTTTGCACGTATCGTTGACAAAAATGCAAACATGCAGTGAGTGCGCCTTGAATCAAAACAGTTTCTATTAATAAAGAAATTATTCAAAATAAAAAATTTAAATACCTATATAATTAATTAATAATACTGTTTCATCTGAGATATATGCGAGTGGCTAGATTCTCAGGTACAAGAACTATAATGAACAAAAAATAAATCATCGAGATGAAGCCTAGATAAGACAGTTATGACAAGTCGTGTAATAAAATTATAATTTAAAATTTTTTGTCTATTTTTTTATAATTTTATAACATAATTTATCTAGGATTTTTTCCGAATTATAAAAAAAATGAAGTAAAAAGTTGTACAGGTTTTATTGAACAAAAAATATTCACCACCTTCGACTTACCCCAAAAGAATTTGCAAATATTTCCCCTAGTTTTCGCCTAGCTTGTTATGAAATTTAATTAATTTTGCCTATATCACATGTACACTCGCATTGCACTCACAGTCTGTAATTATTTAATATCACAATTAAGCTTGACATTGTTAGTTTGACTAACATAATCAGTTATTTTCATATGTGAATCGCCACCGTCCTCGTGGAATTGTTGCAGTTGCCCGGAGGATTAGGCGGCTGTCCTCTAGCACTGTGTCGATGAACGTGATGATGCACGTGCGGATTCCTCATCGAATTCAAATGCCTTTGATTGGTCACATCAGGTAGCGCGTACTTGAGCTTTTCCCAAAACAGTTTATCACCCCACTGTAGATACAAGTTAGTTTTTAAATACAAACGAATGTCCGGATCCAAGTCTTTATGCGGCACTTCGCCCAACAATATGACGATCAATCTCCGCCTGCGATCCCGCAGGATCTGATGATGGGCCGATTTGAATTCGAACCGACACCACTCCGATTTAATGAAGTTTTCCGATAAGATCATTATAGTTCGTTTGGAGGATTCCACGGCCTGCACGATCGTATCGGCGAGGAAAGCGCCGACGGGAAAGTCTCTGTAATGCAGCAAGAGCTTGTACTGCGGCTCGAGTTTGGGAGCAAGGACTTCCGCCACCCACGCCTCGTCCTTCGAACTGTAACTAACGAAAGCGTCGAATAATTTCTCTCGTTCGTCGCGATCTAACTCGCCGGCCCTTTGGAACAACCGAACGCCGAATTTCGAATGGAACCAAACGCGCACCTCTTGTCTGTAAATGAATATAATCAACGTCAACAAGACGATAACGGCGAAGACGGTCAACGTAATTACAAGTAGTGGTAAATAATCCTGAATAACTTGACGTTGTATGATGGTTTTCGTTGCTGTTAGGTTGCCGTTTATGCTATTATCTATGTTCGCGACGCCCGTACACGAACCGTTCTCTTGGTTCACGAAGAAACCGGTATCGGCACTGTCCAAGTATGCGTCTAAGTTATAGAAGTCTATATCGGTTGCATTGAAAATGCATTTTACCAACGAAGAATCTTGCACGGCATCTCCGCGGCGCATCCACTCACGAAGACGTTCCGTAAATTCGCAATCGCAAGACCAGGGGTTGTTCGATAGCGTTACTTCTATTAAGGTCGACGGTAAATTCCACATGTTGTAAACCACCAATCTGTTGTGATCGAGTTTCAAAACTCGCAACTTCTTCAGGCCGGTGAACGTATTGTTGTTTATCATCGTTATACGATTGTAGTGGAGGTGTATTTCCATTAAACTTTCGAGACTTTCGAATTCGTAGCCGTATAATTCACTTAATCGATTTCCATTTAGATGTAGAATTTCCAATTCCTTCAAACCATTAAATGTCCTGTTATGTATAATTTCGATGTTTGAATTATTTAAAAATAGTATTTTTAACCGTTTTCTGCCGATGAACGCGTGACTGTTGAGCGACCGCAGATCGTTACCGTCAAGGTAAAGTTGCGTTGCGTCCATTGGAATTTGGTCAGGAAGTTTGGTTACGTATCCGCTCGAAGAGCAATCGACGACGTTGGCTGACCAAGATTGGTCGTGATAACAAGTACAATTGAGAGGGCAAGTCATTTCACAATCACAAGCGTCGAAATCACAACAATGGCATAGGGCGAAACAATGTGTTTCGTACGTACAAAGGAATTGATACGGAGCCGCTTCGACCAAAGGAACGTATGTGGTGCCTCGGTTATATAATAATTGACAATATATACTTTCCAAATCGACTAATTTCGGTTGAGTGCGAGCTCGATTACCAACGTTGACTTTTTGTAACCATTCCATCGTACAATCGCACTGATAAGGATTTCCGCCAATGTAAAACTCCGGTAGGTCCTTCTCTGGCGGAACAGCTGATATCCTCAAGGCATTAGGGTCGAGACTAGTAATTTTATTTCCAAACAAATCCACCCTAGTCAAGTTCGGTTTCTTGAAGAACGTGTACGATTGCACCTTGGATATGAGATTGTCGTTCAAAAATAAAACTTCCACGCTGTTGGGGATAGCGCTGCCCGTAATTTCAGTCAGTTTATTCGAACTGGCATCGAAGGTGCTAAGAGATAACGTCGATTCGATTTCGAAGTAATTGCCAAGTTCCTCGATTTGATTTGAATGGATGTCTAGCCATTGTAAACCAGTAGGTATCAGGGCGTAATCGAACCATTTCAGTTGATTATCGGATATATTCAACCATACTAAACTCGGTAATTTAGCGAATAATTCTCCAATATCGGTCAGATAATTACCGTCCAGTCTTATAGCCTGTAAGTTAAGATTGCTATCGAAGGAGCCCGGTGCGACTTTTTGTATTTTATTTCTAGATAAATTCAGTATTTTTAAGGCAGTCATTCTATCGAAAACTCCTCTAGTTATGTTTCCTATGTTGTTTTCGGTCAGTCTCAGTCCGTACATTTGTTTCAAATCACTAAAAGTCTCATTCGATATTAAGCTAATGTGGTTTTCGCCTAAATCGAGAGTTTTTAATAAAGGAACTTTCTTCAGCACCTCCGGTACTTGTATCAATTTATTACCGTTCAAATGTAAATCCTGTAAACTCGAGCAGTTCTTCAACGCCTCCGGGTGTATTGATGAAATCTTGTTATTGTCGATCGACAGAAGAGAAAGTACATACAGACCATTGAACGTGTCGCTCTCTATTTTTGTCAGCTTATTATTCGAAATTATTAATGTATGCAGATTATATAAAGCAGAAAACGTATTCTCCGGTATATGTTCAATAAAATTATCGTTAATTCTAAGAATCTGTAGGCTGTACAAATCTCTAAATACTGATTGTTCTAGTTTCATTATTCGATTATAAGAAATATCTAACACAACGAGTCTTACTAATCCAGCAAACGTAGCCGTATTAATCCAATCGCCGGTAAGTTCATTGTGCGATAAATCCAAAACGAGCATTTGAATTAGTTCACTAAATAATCCAGGAGCTAGCACATTTATGGAATTGTTCTGTAAATACATTTCGCGAATTTCCCTGGTATCGGCGAACAACTCGGGCGGAAGACTGACTAGACGATTATCAGATAATTTTAAAATATTCAAAGAAGTTAGACCTTCTAAAGCGCGGTCAGCGAGGTGATGCAAACCGTTGCCTTGCAAGTACAGTTTCTGTAGATGCGCCAGGCCCGAAAACGAGCTGGCCGGCAACCTGTCGATATTATTCCGCGATAAATCCAACAGTTTCAAATTACTGCAACATCTTTCGGAGGGACTCGAACCGAAGCGGAAACTCGTAACATCCCGCAGACGGTTTCGAGTTAAATTAAGCACCTCGAGAGCGTAGAGCGGACACAAAACTCCTTCAGGTAAACTCCATATATTATTTTCACCTAAATCGAGTCTTTCCAACTGTCGCAGTTCTTCGGTGAACGCGTTTGACGACACCTCTAACGTCATAGCCGACCAATCCGTGTTATGCGTACGAACTGTTAGGTTACGGAGTTCTTTCAAACCGCGGAACGCACCATCCGATAAATTTCCGATTTTGCAATATTCGATCGACAACTCGCGCAATTCGACTAGCGGCTGAAAGCTACCCGCACTTAAGGAACTTTGAAAGAACAACGCATCACTACACTCCAACCTCAACCGGACCGTGTGTTGGGGTTGAATAACACTGAAATTGGTGTTCTCCAATTCGCTATTAATAGTGCGCAACCTGCACACCAAAGCGACGTCATCCTCGGAACTGTTATCCACGACGACCCACTTGCACTCGTCCGGCGCCTGATAGCGCAGCGTTTTGCTCAAAGACGCCGACAACACGCCGAATATGGCACCGAATAATAGCGCACACACTACCGTGGTGCCCATGACTTTGTACCGTTCGACCCTGCGCTACACCATTGTATGCGGCAGAGCCGATATATTGTAGCATGACCGTCTCACCGGCTGTTCGATGCTTGACTACAGCTACAGACGCTACAGTGCTCGGCTACAAGGCCACTAACTTCTTGCTGCTCGCCCTCCCCTACGGTCGTCCCCGCCGCTACTCGAGCTGCTGGTTCTCGATAGCACTCACCGGAGTCGCTGCTCCGTGCCTCCTTTCCACTAAGAATAGAAATCCGAGTCGCGGTGGCATTCACAAAAAACTGTTAACTCGAACCTCGTTTTTTCTACCTAAACGTCGGGGTTTTCTATCTGATCGGCCGTTGAAGTCACTCTGAAGAGGATTTCTCGCCTCGCGTTGATCTTTTTTCGCTCTTTTTTTCGTCCACCGACTCGATCCTTCTACTCGCAGACAAATTGTGAATAAAGGCGTTTTGGACGGTTCTTTTTGTTGCGATCTTAGAATTCGCTATAATTGACTGTTAAATTGATTCAAACAAAAAAAACTAAACAACCAACAATTTTATAATACCCCTAATTTCTCAAAAATCCTACTCGTAGTAGGTACTAATTTAGGTAGGTGAAAATAGGATAATATTTTAGTAGGTATGATTAATTTTACTGCATCGTTGCTGGTCCGTTTAAGGCTATCTTAACCGTGCGCTGGATTTGGTCGCGGGGATGTTTCAATAATCCACCCGAAGATGGGTTTTTCGTGTAGTGGAATTCCACCGGCCGGTTATTAATTGGGCAATAACGCGCCGCGCCACGCATGGCCGCTGTTTTATTGCGCAGCGGCTCGCGAGACGCGTTCGCGGTTTGTCCGAGTCGAGTACGTTGTTCATTTATCAACGCGGACGATGAGTGGCGAAGAGCCGGGGCGGATCTGGAAAAACGAACGTCGATTTATTTCCGTTTCGATTAGCCGCTTTGTGGGTGTTTATCGGCTTTAATTGTTTATAGTTGTGTACAGGGTGTTTCACAACTTATCCGACAAATTTTAACCGCATATGCACTGTTACGAGAGAAGTTAATTTCCCAAAAAAAAAATGTAATAAAAGTCTTACAGAAATCGAGATAATGAAATAATAGTTTAACAGTTCGATTACTTATACAAGATATTCAAAATTGTTCTCATTTACTGCAATGCAAGCTTTTGGGTGCTTGTTTTTTTTTGTTTTAACCATTGTTTTGGTGCAACATTTGCTACAGTAAAGTATTAAGGCAAAATTATGAACGCAAAATGCAGTATTTATTTTTCAATTTTTTATTGAAACTCGGGTTTATAATTTTATTTCTGTAGGACTTTTATTACATTTTTTTTGAGATTTCTTAAAGAGAGAGAAGTTGATTTCTCAAAAAAATTAATTTCGCATAATAGGGTAATCAATGTTAAATTCTTAGCCGGCTGAAATCCAGTCTACCAGTGTATATTTCAATAGAACGTCGCAATAAATTCTAAGAAATTTAATTGTTCTACAAAAATCTACTACTACTTCTACTACTCTGTAATACAAAATTATTTAGAAACTACATTTAATAGGTTTTTTTTTGGGGATATTTCAAAAAATGTGTGTATCGGTAGGTACAGTTTTGAAACAGCAACAAATTTTGTTGAAATAAGGGAAAATATAATTCAATTTTTTGCTAGAATTATACCTCAGCTCAGTAATATGGGATGACATCTGTATGACAGGTTTGGCTATAGTTTAGCAGAAAGCGGTGGACTATTTTTTAGAGTTCTTTTATTTTCTGTTTTAAAATAATCTTTAAGTTTATTTTTGGAGTTTCCTTTTTATTATTTTCTTAGAATTTACTTTCTTTTTCAAGCCATTGTGGCAAAAAGGCATATCTACATAATTCTATTTTAATATTAGTGATATTGTTTCAATAAATTATCGTTTAAAAATTCTCATTTCTTTTTAATCGACTCGACGTTCACCCATCCGAACCCGTTTTGATACTGTCGAAGTGTCGAAACCGTCGAAATTATTTGATTTTTAATCTAACCAAACCAAAGCGCGGTGTGAAGTCCAGTAGAACAATTATTAGAATTAAATTTATTTATTAAATTTATTAGAATTGATCGCGACATTCTATTGAAATGTATACTGGTAGACTGGATTTCAGACGGCTAAGAATTTAACATTGATTTCCCTATTATGCGCGAATAATTTTCCAACGCTGTATAATTTTGCCTTTAAACTACTACGAGTTACGGTAGTTGTTAAAAAATACACGTAAACCTTTTGAGGAAATAAATATAACTACCTAATTAAAATTTCCTAATTTTTGGATGTACTTCTTCTACAATACCTACAAATCAAAGTAAAACTCGACGTGTTTGTTTTCCTCTCTAATGTAATTTATTTTCGTTTATATTATTCAAGACAAGCGACTCGAGGTATATAAATCGTCGACTGTGATGTTTAAATAAACAATATATCTACGTTGAATTATTCCGAATGTTTATTTACCTAGCATTACTATGAGAAAATCCAGTGTTAGTACAATGAAAATTAGTTACTTTAACGGTATAAATCAACAAACGAGAACTTTTATTAAATACCGTGTAACGCCATGGGTATATGTATGTAGTTCACATCGGTTCTCGGGTCCCATAAAAACTAGAAACCACAAATAGTTTTTGGGTAATTTAGTGTTTATTAAAATGAGTCGGGCAAGCACGCATCGAATTCGTTTACTGATGCAGTGAGAATATTACCTTATACAATGAGCTACAGTATGCGTATTTAAAGAAAGATCCCGTACAATACCTATAAAACAATTTATCAAAAATATTTATATTTAAGAAGGTATCTATCCTTAAAAGTAATAAAATCGAAAATAAATTCCGAAATTAACACATTAAAAAATTAGTATTGGAAATTTAGAAACAATTAATTAGATGCGACCAGTAGATATTAGAATTTAAAATTATTGTTTCTCACGAAAATTCTCGCTTCCATCGAAATATCCGTTAACGCCGTTTACGATCGACTCTTGCGCATCTTTGGATTTACAGTTGTACGTTAAATGAGATCCTGCGGAGCAAAATGTTGGTTCATATTTCAAAAGGCACCTCATTTTATAAAATTTATCTAGTCATTTGGAAGTAGGACACCTGCCTATGTCCATAAATAATCTAAATAAAGTTATTCCGAACACACTCGCTGGTTCGATGATCTTAGCTTATTAAAAAAATCAATAAAATTTTTAAACGTCTATTAGGTATATTGTGCAATAAGTTCGAAAGTTTGTTCTAAATGAATTACTTTGGTGAAAAATGAGTGGAAAAGATTTTAATTAGCTGCTAAATGGAAATATTATTAAATAATAAGAAGGTTTAAATTTGAGTTAAAAAATATAGGGTTGTATTATACAATAGGTCCCTGATGTGATCCTTATAAATATTTAGGAAAGCATAAAAGAAAGTATGTTATACCTATAGGGTACAGAGCACAATTGCATTTTTACACAAAGAATCCCCTAAATAATTTGAAAAAAATTCCCATGAATTTAATACAGGGATCGGTTTTTGAACCCAATCTAAAATGAAGAAGTCGTTGAATATATTCCACAAACAAACGACATCATTATCAACTTACGGTACGAAATTCAAAAATAAATATTTACAAGTTGTTCTGTTTTCGTTTCAGTTCACACCAGCATTACCTACACAATAAACAAATAGGTCGCTTTAGGTGCACCTAACACCTATGTGAAAATTTGTACTTCACTGTGAAATCAGTTCTGAAAATTGTGCTATAAGAAAACGTAATACAAATCTCCACCTATCACAAAATACTCCAAAATATAAGAGAAGAGAGTTCAATACTCGCATAGGCGAGAAACCCTTGAATAAATTTATTTGCAATAGAAATGGATATCAAAATACATAGGTAGATTTAAAAAAAAAAACACATATTAGAATGAGTTCTAAATAAAATAATTTGATAGCTGAATTATTGTATCACTATTTACATACGCATAGACTTTTTAAAGAACTTTCTTTGTTATTCTTCATATGACTTTAACTTGTAAGTTACAACATAAATGAGTTCTATATCCACTGTTTCAATATTCGTAGGCACTAAGAATGCGTTATGCGCAACTCTTACCCAAGACTTTCCGCAAGTAAGTACGTACCTCGAGGAAATATAAATTATTTAGATGTGACTCATGCACTTTCGAAATAAGATTGACTTTCAAATATATGTAAATGCTATTCGTGTCCCTTGAATTCGAAGTATCGCCATCGAAACTATCTGAGTGTGACCTAAATGGCCGTAGTACTACTTAGATATCAGGTAGTACTGAAGCCTACGTGCGATATTAAGTTTTTTCCGCTTCGCGATTTGACTTCCCACGTGGGTCTATTAGGTATACAGAGGGAAATTGGAAAAAATTGGTAATGTAATTCTATTGTTGGTATTAACAATATAATTATCCAAATAGCTGTCTGAACTAGTGAATATTTACTTGAAACGATAATAAAGAATGTTTCCTGGAAATTGTTTATAGAGGTAATTTTTAATGAACATATACATATAGCTGGCCATACACTGTGGTGGTACATAGATGGAAGAAATTTATAATATAGAAGGCATCCTATTCATTCCAGCTGATTTTCTTTTTTCCATAATAAAACGTTCTTTCTTCTGACAAAACCAATTCTGCTGTTTTGCATATAACTCGAACGCCAAAAACGAATCATTCCTTATTTGTTATTTACGCTTAAAATATACATGAACGAGCGCTCTTTGTTTTTCGTTTATTTTTTGCGCGAACGTGAAATATGGCAACAGGCGTGATGGACATTTTTTAAGCTCCCCCGAGCGTATAATTTTCTTTTTAAATTGAACCCTGTCATATTCCTGCTTACATTTTGCTTTATTTATTGTTCACTGCATAATAAATTCGAATTGCTTGAGCTGTCAAGCGATGTTTACGAGGTATGTTCGAAATTCGTTCGGGTTCTCACAGCCAACGGTTCGTTATTTATTTAATATTTTAATAAATACTCACAAAATTTTGTAAACGGATTGATTATTTAATAATATCATTTATGGCAATTTAAGTTATTTAAATCGTTTTATGCATATTTTGTATGTACAGTGTAGATACTCATCTTTTTATATCATCAGATTAAAATACCTAACAGAAAAATTTTATTGGATGATATCTAAATATTTTGAACGTCTCTGGGCTCAGCCGGTAAAATTTTATATATTTTTTTTGGGTTTGCCCCGG